AGAGGTACGAAATTCAGAGCGTTGGTCTTAAACAAAGGCGATGCTATCAGCAAGTGGAGCAAGGCAGGTCTAAAGGACGCGGAGGCTTTTTGCATTCTTTGCAGTGTGACAATTTACTGTGCCCAGCATGGCACTGCTGCTGTCAAGGGGCATGCAAGCCAAAAGAAGCATCTGGAGGCAGCAGCTAAGCGGCGAGACGCAAGTGGTGTGCTGCTAGCTCCCAAAACTGTGCAAGCCACGATAGATTTTTCGCAAGGAACGCCTCGTGCCACATTGCAAGATCAAGTGTGTGGGGCGGGAGCCATCTTTGCTATGGCTGTTGTTTCAAAGGACATTCCCTATGCCCGGGGCATCACTGCTACGGACATTTATAAAAAAAATGTTTACTGACAGTGACGTGGCCAAAAATTTCAACTGCGCAAGGGCCAAGCTTTCTTAAGTCATCTCTGATGGGCTGGGGCCCTTCTTCAAATCAAAGTTCCTTGCCTTAAGATGTGAGAATGCTGAACAGGAGGTGCGGTCCTTGCGGTACATTGCCGGGCAGCTGCAGCCTCAGGTCATCTGTGGGGATCAAGTGTCATCGCTGATCGACGAATGGAACATGCTTAAGTGTGATGGGGACAGAGGCACCCTGCACTTGGAAGGAAGGGTGGATGTGTACTGGGCCAAGGTGCTTTGCCTGAAGACTACCACCGGAGAACTGAAGTATCCGTTACTGTATAAGATTATCAAAGCACTGCTTTGCTTACTACATGGCAATGCTGATGCTGAAAGCGGTTTCAGCGAAAACAAGAACCTGCTAGATAGAAGCTCGCTGAGCATTACCAGCATTAATGGCATGCGCCAAGTGAATAGCTTCCTTCAGCATTATGATAGGGACGCAACTAAGGTGCCACTCAACCCTGACCTGCTGAGGCAAGCTCGGGCTAAGTATGCGCAAAGATTGAGCCACGAGGCAAGCTCGAGCAAGCGCAAGGCAACGGAAGATCCTGTCGTAAAGCAGCCCACTCACGAAGCAGCAAAAGCTGCTTTAGAGGACCAAGTGGCAGCCAGCAAGGCATTGCTCACGAGTGCAGAAGAAATAATCAGTGCTGGTGTCAAGAAAAAAAAGACATGAATAAAGTGTCAAGTGGCCATGTACTGTTGGCAAAGGGGAATGCCAGCCTGGAGATTGCACTTAAAAAGCTCAGTGAGCTCGAAGAGATTTCTAAAAAAAAAAAAAAAAAAAAAAAGAAAGCATTGATATGTGTGGTGTCTAGTCTAGTCAAGTTGAATGGTGTCTGAACTAGTCAAGTTGAGTGATTGGACTAGTCAAGTTGTCATGTCTCTATTAATCAAGTTTTATGAGCTTCTTGCCATATGCAAGATCACTTGTTTTTGTCTTGTTTATAGGTGTGAAAGCTGTGTGTTATTATGGTTGTGCTAATGTTCTCGGCTGTTTATTTGCTATTTAGGTCATCTTATGGCAAAAAATAAATTTTTTTAAACTGCTCCAAATTAGGGTTTATCTGCTCCAAAAGCGAAGTTTTCCTGCTCCACAAATTGCTCCAATTTCTATTTTGGCTGTAGCACCCCTGCACAATGATAATGTTTCTAAAAGCTGTCATATTGGCCATTTCAATTGTGCACTTTTCTGTAAGAATGGTTTGCCCCTCTTGTCCTCTAGAGGGCTAAATTAATTCAGTTTTTCACACTGTAACTAAAGTAGGTGTATGCGCTGGTCGGATCTGTTTCTTTGAGACCATTACATCAGGTTTTGAGGACATAACTCTCCTTTTTTTTTAAGGTTCAATATGACTGAACTACAGAGTATCGCATGTCATTATTTGTGGTGCTGTAAAGTAAAGGCTCTGTTATGTAAATAGTGGTTAAAGAGCTTATCAATAAAGTAGTACAATTGACAAAAATTTTCTGTCTGAATTATTTTAAAAACTACCACTGTGCTTTGAGTTTGCCATATTTCATAAGATAACATTGAGGAGTGTGAGTACCAACTTAGAAAATGTTTGAAAAAGTGTGAGATACGCATACAATTTCTGTGAATCCTAGCCAGGTCATGAAAACTGACGGCACTCCACGCAACTCTCAGGAAAATAATTTCGATCAGAGCTTTAAAAGTTGCTCCTTATGGCTGAAACCACAGTGAATGCCTGAGCTGAAGCATAAAAGAAGCAAGGTCATTACTGTTGCTTCTGCAGATTACACGGCATATTGCGGTTGCCAAGCGTGATGGTACTTGCACCGACAAGTTGGTGCAGGCATGCCTTGGCCACAATCTTGGCTTGGCTTGAAGTCATTCTGGTTAAGTTAGAAATAGTAGAGGCTTGTGTGAAGCTTATTCAGTGGCAATGCAACAACAAACGTCCTCATCTACACACTTACTTCAGGTAGCTAATGTTTTAAGTGCAGCACAGAATTACTGCAGCTTAATGTCTCGTTTCAGTTTCTTGACGTTGCATATGAAATCTGATTTTTGAGCATTGAGTCTATAGAAGAGTATGTAAACGAAGAGAATACACCAGCCTCCAGGATTCTTCTGCGAAATCAAGGAAATTGTTGCCCCACTGCGGTGGTCTAGTGGCTAAGGTACTCGGCTGCTAACTCGCAGGTCGCAGGATTGTATCCCGGCTGCGGCGGCTGCATTTCCGATGGAGGCAGAAATGTTGTAGGCCCGTGTGCTCAGATTTGGGTGCACATTAAAGAACCCCAGGTGGTCGAAATTTCCGGAGCCCTTCACTACGGCGTCTCTCATAATCATATGGTGGTTTTGGGACATTAAACCCCACATATCAATCAAGAAAACTGTTGCCTCCTTGTACAGTGACCAGGGTGTTGCCCCGCCTTCTGTTGTGGCCTTATTTGTCATATGTGCAAGTGGGCTTGACAAGCACTTCGTAAGTGCATTTTTGAGAGTTTGATTGCACAGGAGAGCGCTTAAAGAACCTGTTGGTAGAACCCTTGTTAAAGTTCAGATAATGAACTAATGCATGGAAATTCTTGTGTGGAGTGGTGATCTTCAGTACACAAGGAATGTCTTGCGGAAAATATGAAGCTGCTGGTAGCACAAAATTAGTGTATGATGAGAAATTAATGTATGATGAGGAGTCAGAAAATGGTGTTGTAGAAGTTGACGTAGTAGACCTGCATGGTTTGAAGGGCCAACATTGGATAAAAAGATGACCTGGAGAGGAAGGGGAAGGAATTGTTATACTAATTAGATGTTGAAGGAAAGAAGAGAGCTGTGGCTGTTTTGAAAGAGCTTGAATGACAAGAAGCAAAAACTGATGGAATACACTCAGCTTCAGCGCTCTTTGCTCTAGGAAGAGATTGAATCTTTGAAACGGGAAGAAATGAACCAGCTTTTTTGTATACATTTATTGTATTTTAATGTATTTATTGTAAAAGATAATTACAGTGAAGGGAATGTAAAAAAGCAGCATAGTTTGCAGTTTAATCAAGTGCTCTATCTTTTTATATGTTTTTACCACTTGAGGGTTTTCAGTGTGTAGAGTTTTTCAAGCAGACTTACTGGTCCTGGAATTTTTTTAGAGTTGTCATGTAAAACCCTATAAAGGCAAGGTGTTAGGGAAAATTAAATTGGTAGACATCCTGACACTGAGAGACCTTGTTACAGTGATTTCATAGCCAAGTTTTAGATTATCGTTCCAAGTACAGACATGCATTTTTATTATAAACCAGCACAGGGTTCTCTGCAGGCTTTTCATTCATACATAGTTTTGCCTTATGTGAACAGAGGGCTTTATGTTCGTCACTCACCATAGCACATCACTATGGTCAATCATCCAGTTTGAAACACACAAAGCTGCCACTGGAAGTGTGCCACAAAACAAGGATGGAACAGAAAGAATAAAATAAAAGGAGGGAAGGCTTGTTGTGTGTAGTCTCTCATCTGTGGCACATTGCGGAGGGCAGGAAAGGAACTCCACTTGTGGACAAAATGGGTACAGTGTGTACATTGACTGTGAAGATTGGTAAGCTTTCCAGGGGCATGATAACGGAACAGTTTGATATCTTCAGTGTCTTCCAATAATGAACTAACTGGATGTGACAACAGCTTACCTTGGAAATGGAGTGAAGACTGCAGAGGCAGGCTATCTCCACATTTGTGTCGCTACACGAGTGGTTCGGCTGCTTGCAGCTAATTTCAATTCCATTTTCGGTTTCGCTTGCCCACAGCATTCATTGATAATTCAGGTGGGCGGCACCTTACGCCAGCATAGACTTGGCAGATAACTTTCTTTTTGATAGCCACTTTCTGTCACACTTCAAGTATATCTTTTTCATAAAACGAAAAGGTGAGTTTTTGGTCGCACATAGTCCAGTCACTATCAGGGGCACCATGCTTGCTGTGAGAACAGGCATGCTGAAAACGTGGTGCTGTCCAAGATGTGAGGAGAGAAGAACATTAAGAGTGAACAATATTTTTTTTTTTTGCCACCAATGGCTCCCCATACTTGTTCAATCTTTATAAAGAAGTAAACTTTATTTATTCGAACTAGGTCTCTCCAAAAGTTTTAAAATCCTAGCACAGGCAAATGCCAGCACGTGCACAGGCAAGCATTTTGATTCTTTAGTGTCCACGCTACTGCCAAAAAAAGTTGTTGCAGACTGTATAAAATATTTAGGTAAACTGGTCCCCAGGTTGAACCTTACAGCTTCAAATACATAACCAAAATTGGTAATTGGGACGGGTAAAAAGGCAAGTAATGTATATATTCAAAAAACACAGTGTTGCATATTGTTACTACATCATGAGTAGTGGGCAGTGTTAAATTGGGGAAAGAAATGCTACTTGGGCATTTAGTGCGGTCCGTGATTGGCATGTTACAACGATTGTAAATATGCATCCCAAGTTATCGCACTTAGCTGGATGCATTGTATTAGTATCTATGATTAAACTTATCAGTAAAATTTTATAGTTCAGTCTGCATTCATGTTTGTGTTGTCCTGCTCATGTTTTTATTTATTCACTTTTGCAGCCTGCCAGGGATGAAGTTGGGATTAGCCGGGAAGATCTGGTTGAAGCCTTGCTCTCATGCATGATTGCTTCGGCTGGTTTTGGAAAGCACAGCATACAACTGGCTTTAGAAAAGCTAGATTCTGATCTAGCTGTTGCGAAGTTGGACTCACTAAAACTTTTGGTATGTTTTACGGCTTAGCCTTTAGGTATATGCATATACGTAACCAGGTTCTTTAATGTGTTACATTTGTTTTGCAGAATCCTTGAGTTCTCTGAAAGTAAAAACTGATGGAAGACACTCAGCTTCAGGGCTCTATAAATGTTTATAAGATATTTTATTTTGACATGAAAGTTGATTTTTGCGTGGCACACCTGTTGACATCAACACAGTAGTGCCACCAGGCTACACTTTGCTCACGTTAGTTTACGCTCCAGCACGGCTGGTTGTGAAGATGTCTGGTACCAAAACATTCAATCTATTCTATTTAATTGCTTAATGAACCCACTCACATAATGAATCCACCCTCCATCTTTGCTCTTGAATAAAGAAAAAAAAAAGTTTTAACGTATCTGGACATTTTATTTCGGTGTGATACCCAGTGCCATTGACAATTGAAACAGCGTTAAATCAAGCCATTGTATCACAAAATAATGATGCAATAAAAATCAAAGAATAGTTTTGCAACCATGCTAAATTGTAGCGAGCAGCACGAACGTGAACAATGTCAACAAAAACTTAAAGGTGCGCCTTTTCTAGCAGAGCACCATCTGTCAAATGCAGGAAAAACCTCTTTGCTTATAGCATGACGATAGTTATAGCGCGAGAACAAAACGACGACACAGAGACTCTGTGTCGTTGTTTTGTTCTCGCGCTATAACTATCGTCATGCCATACCAACTAGCCCAAGCTGCCACACTTCTAAGTTGCTTATAGCGCCATGCAAGCATTGCGACGTAAGAACAAAGCAAAAAACAAACGCATGGCCTCCGAGATGGCGGGTGCGCGGCGAAGAAACTCTCCATGCACCCACCAACTCGGAGGCCATGCAAAGCGCGCACCGCGTCACCCACGATGTTTGTGAGCCGATATTTGACGCTGCGTTTTTGTTGTTGGGCTTGTAGTGAGCTTGGTTGTGGACACCTCAGACACCTGCTGTGAGGGTGTGTATGGCAGGTACGGTAGCTACACGGCTGGTTTTAAACTTAAAGTTGGTTGAGCATGTGCTGGAGCATGGGAACCGAGCGGCAAGACTACGCTTCAGAACGATCCGTGCGTGTTAGTCATGGATGAAAACAAGAGCTTCGGGCTACAAAAATATTTGTTGTGCATGTCGCGAGCTAAGACAAGCAAAACCGTCATGCGAAAATCCGCGTAATCAACCCTCTCCTCAAATTGGTGTCAGCTTTTCTGAAAAAAAAAAAAAGGTGGGTTCATTACGTGAGTAAATACGGTAGTTACTTGTGCATCATCAAAAACATTTATGATGACCACTATGGCTGCTTTTGCACCGCCAATGAGGACGCAAAGTGAAGTGACCATGAAAAACATCACAATATCTTGCACAAGCATGGGACAAGAATCTTATACTGTGTAAGGGTACAGTAGGAACTTAATGTACTTCCAAATTGCCATCACAAACCAGTACATTTACTAGACTCTTGAGGGCTTGGCCTTTTATTTGACGAAAGAACATTGTCCTGAAAATTTCCGTGTCAGTACTGCTTTAATCCTTCCAGACATTGGTATACGACTGTGTGTTTTATAAACTTACGACCTTTTCCTCTGAGCATGTATGTCGCAGGTGGCAGTGATTTTGTAGTTTCAGATGAACTCTCAGCTTTCTATCTGGCAACTGCACTGTGTCATGAACACAGATGACAGTAATCTACAAAATATTCAGCAATATTTTTTTTCATTTCTAGCATTTCCTGTATAGCTCTAAGAATTTCAAAGAAAGCTTTTGAGGAATTTTGTGCATCTTTGATGTGAATTTCGGGGCGCAATTTGGCTTTACTTCACTGTTTCACAATGGTGCGAAAAGGTTCTTTCACGGCCATACGCGAAGACCTGTTTTATTTTGTGTTTATTTTGTGTGGTGATGCGGGTTTATATGCAAGGGTGCGTTGCACATTATCAACGTAAATAGAGCCTTAACATCTTCACACACAGCTGTGTGTACTCTTCGGCAGCCCGAACTGTCTCGTCTGCCTTGGGCCCCTCCGCGGTGGTCTAGTGGCTAAGGTACTCGGCTCCTGACCCACAAGTCGCGGGATCAAGTCTCGGCTGCAGCAGCTGCATTTTCGATGAAGGCAGAAATGCTGTAGGCCCGTGTGCTCAGATTAGGGTACCTGTAAAGAACTCCAGGTGGTCTAAATTTCCAGAGCCTTCCACTACGACGTCTCTCATAATCATATGGTGGTTTTGGGACATTAAACCCCACATATCAATCAATCTAGTCTGCCTTGGCCATTATTCGGGCTGGAGGCCAATTTAACCAAAGCCAGAGTGTTGCAACTCGTATTGAGCACGACTGTGGGCATAAATATTCCCTTACACTGACATTGAAGCATTGCGGTGTTCGAAAATAGTTCACTATAATGGAGCATTTGATTCAGCCGAGATCCCAAACCATGGCGGCTTCATTTCAATGTGGGGGAAATGTTTCAGGCCTGTGTGCTTATGTGTCGATGCACATTAAAGAGTTCCAGGTGGTAGAGCAGCCACTGCGGGGTTCCTCATGATTATATCGTGTCTTTGCGATGTAAAAGCACAACAATTATTTATAGTTATCATTTATCCGAGTTCGATGTAGCCAGATTTGACTGTTGTTCCTCTGCAGCATTTTTCTCATTTAATTCCCTTCGGTGGGTATGTGGATGTGGTTCATCATTACAATTATCAACCAGAAATACAGGTAGCTGTGAGGCTACTAACTATAAGTTGAAGAACTTCAGAGGCCCATGGTAGACATGCCTTAAAGGGGAACTCCGGTGTTTTTTCGATATTCACTGATTTCAATAAAACTTTGAACATGTGTTCTCGTTGGTACTGTAGTAATATGTGCCAAGTTATACTACCGTAACTCATTTAGTTGTTTTAAAAACAAACTTCATAATTAGTAGCCAATTCTGGAATCACACTTGCAAACGTGGGCCACCCTGCGTATGGGACGTAAGTGCCTACTTTTTTTTTTCGAAAACCCTACCTTTCCCAGCAGATAAATGCTGGGCGCGCTTTTGTTCTATGAGGCGACGACAGCGCGAGCACAGTTCAGTTTTGTCAGCTGCATACAGCGTATTAGTCGTCGTTGACGTTGGGTCTTACACTATTGAGCAATGAGGAGATCGATTCGTGGCACCTCAGATGCTTCACCCACCGGCGGGTCGAAGTCAAAAAGCGATGCTTCTGCGTTCAGATAGTAGCCACAATCGTCGCTGAACTTATCACTGGTATGTTGAGATGAGCTAGTGCAGTTTGATTCCACGTCAGATGATATCGCCCATTCGCTTTTCGTGCGTCAGAAGAGGCACATGAATTACGTTTACACCCTGGCTAGACGGTGGCAGGGTGTAGCGGATCTCGTGACGTCATCCGATACCCACCATGGATCACGAAACAGCTCCCTGTTTCGGTGTCTCTTTTGACTGATTGTTCATTGCCTAATTAAAATTATAGATGAGTGCCTGGGCTTAAAGAACCACCCTAGCTATTGCAGGACTATTTGAAAACAGCATTATCTCAGTAAGGTCGAAAATGCACCGGAGTTCCCCTTGAACTACCGCTGCTTGGTTAGGTTGCAGGTTAAAGGAAGGTACGTTACAGAATTCTGTAACCACTGCAGTGCCATGTACACAACTGTGCAAGTACCTCTTAAAAATGTGCACTGCAATATTGGGCTAATAATTGAGCAATCTCATCATAATTGGGACTTATCAGTGAGCTCTTTGTCAAAGCAATAACATTTTTTATTTGACAAAATACAGTCGGTTACCTGCACAACTATGGTATGTGAGTTTCCTGCTTGATATTTTATGTGACTTTCTCAGGACTCCCTTTTTCGTTTTCATCAAATGCTGGAGCATAGCTCTTGCACTTTTTTTTTGTACTGTGGTTTAGATGTAACATGTTCATCTCACTGTGCTGTCTTTTATCATTTGGATTGTTGGCATGAAGTTTGTGCACAATTGAAAAGCAGGATTAACAGGTTATGTTATGATTGAGACTTAATTTGTTATGCAAGTGTTATACGATCACCTTTGTTAGTGATCAGGCCTGATCTAGGTAGAATTCGTTGACTTTGATGGGCTCCCTAGTGCAAATCCTAGAAGAGAGCCATTGATTAGTGTGAAATTTGATCCATGTCAGGCTTGATCGGGATGAACCGTGTGATACCGTTTTAAAAATTATTTTATGTGGTAATGTTACCTCTTTTTTCTCCTTCAGATCCGTGGAGCTGATGTTTATCCTGTCATCTGTTTTAAGGAAATGGCGGTGCTCATATGGAGACAGATACGCAACTTGGTATAATACAGCTACCAATTAAGCTACCCATATCATTGCTTTGCTCCTAAGAATAACTTAATTTGAAAAATTTTTTCCTAGGTGTTTGTGAATAGACATGAAGATATCATTCCCAGAGCTCTTGATTGTCTTTCGAGTCTTTCAAGAGTCCTCTCGAACCAAGAAAATGTGAGTTGTCATACACTTCATATCTACATTGCTAACTCTCTTAAACTGCGGTGTTAAAATTGCCGTCTTCTCAGACCCGCAGACTGTTCTCACTTTTGTCCCTCTTTAACAATCTCTATCATAACAATTCGCGGCTGTCTGCACCTATTAAGCCTGCCCATCGAATATTTTCTCATCTGGACCACGAATTCAAATTAGAGCTTTTATTTGGCCGAACCAACCTGTTTTTATATTCACCATTACTTCTTGCTGTCAATTACTGGAATCAACTGCCTAACAATATTGTTTGCATAAAAAAACCACGAAGAATTCATTCACAAATTAAAGCTTCATCTTGGTGTATGAAGGACTTCATAAAACTGCATCCGATATATTCATGTGCTTAAATATTACTTTATTTAGCCCGCTGTATAACTCAACTACTTGACTACTGTTTAGGAGAGAAATATACAGCCTCTTTTTTTTTTTCTTGTGTTGCGTTTTCTTTTTAGTGCAGTTTGTCGTTAGAATTATTTTCCCCTGATCTTTATTTTCAGTATTGATACGACGTTATTTATTTGTTTGTTTTCTCAAACCTTTTATTACTTTGTTTTTAATCTTAGTTTTATGTATGTATGCTACTACCACCCTCCTATGTAATGCTCTCAGGTCTTTAGGGTACATGAATTCAGAGAAAAAACAAAACCCAAGCATTATAGGAGTTACCGTATATACTCGCATAATGATTGCACTTTTTAAATTAAAAAAAGTTGACTCCAACTTCGAGATGCGATCATTACGCGGGGTAAATTTTCCATGAAAAAATATTACGAGCACCGAAAATGCAAAAATGTCGCCAACAAGAATTCTTACGATAGCTATCACGAACATAGCCAAATATAAAAGTCAATTAAGGCTTACCTTTGTAATAAAATGCACGCATTACGTCGGAGCTACATGCATGGCACACTGCCCTTTTATTTTTTACCTCTCTAACCCCCTAACGTTCATTCAGACGAAGCGTCACTGGCGTCAGTGTGGTCGCCGCACGATTCCCTGTCAGAACCAGCAGTGTCTTCACTGTCCTACAGAGGGTCATCTTTCATCCCGTCGAGCGCATTGGAAATGCCAGTCTTTTTGAAGCTCTTGACGACCACCTCGTCGGAAATGGTTTCCAATATCTGATTTCGTCGACGCCGAAATGTCTGCTGGCAGCGCGGTTGCCATGCTCTAGTGCATAGTCAAGCGCTTTCAGCTTAAACGCGGCAGTAAAGCTCGCATACCGCCCCATGGTGAAACGGCGCTTCAACCACAAAGCACATCAACTTACAATAACCCCTTTCCGGTCCCGAAATAACTGCTTCAAATATTCCTTTTTTCCTCGTACAGTAACTCAGTGGAATGGATTAACTAATAACCAAGTGATGGAGCCGTCCTTAGAGTTGTTTGCAGCAAATTTGACCTGATTGTTTACATCATGCTGTTCTATTTTTTTGTTTGTTTGTTTGGTTTAAGCAATCTTGAGTGCCAACATTGTGAAAATTATATCTGTAACCACCCTGCTAAAATCTCTGTAATAGGGATTGCAGTATGAATAAATAAATAAATAAATAAAATTAAACACACAAAGCACATAAACTAACAAAGCAGATAAAACAAAAAGCATGGTCTCGGGGAAAAAAAAAACATTGCAGCGGGATGAACACAGGTCGACCAACAGGCGGCCTTCGCTGTAACAGTGCGGGATGTCAAAACAAACATGGCGGCTTACGGAGTGAAGCGACCACATTTTTTTTCTTTTTTTCATCAGTTATGGAGGTTGTGAGTACGTCACGCGCGTCAAATAGTTTCTTCTACCTAAAAAAGAATGCTTTCATATAAATTAGTAAATTTACGGCATTAGCATAGCGATGCCTGCTTTCAGATCTCAGAAACAATGATAGGCGCGTTCAGCTGCCACAGACATAAAAACACATGGCGGGCATTCAGTGAAAACTGCGGCATTTGCCCTTACTGCAATCCTAAAGGGCACGATTCCGCCAATGGTGGGCAAAAATTAAGAATATGTTTGGTGCGTGCAGTTGGCAAGTTTTGAAGAGTTATTAATGCAACATTTGACAGATAATAAAGGTGATGATCATCGGCTAGACTTGGCACACGACATATCGATGCGGCAAGTTTGGGGTGCGATCATTACGCTGGAAAAAAAATCAAATTTAGATGACCAAATTTAGGGGTGCGATCTTCACGCGAGTAAATACGGTAGGTAAATTAGACAATTCCTAGTCTAGCTGTACATTATAAGGTAATCATGTGTGCCTGTAGTGCAAAAATGGTATGACATCATTAATGGCTACTACGAAAACTTTAAATTAGAATTTTCGTTCATGCTAGAAGTTTTAGATGCACTTGCAGAGGTGCCTGTAAAAGGGGAATTCATTGAAAGAAAAGTTTGTCAACTTCAGCAGGGTGAAATTCATCCTTATGTACAGTAATTGTAATTCCCATTTTTGTTTGTAGTGTGTAGTGTTTTCTAACAACTAGCTAAAAAAGCTGGACCGTCTTTGATGAAGTCACATACATATGTGTTTTTTTGTTAAGGTTTTTAAAGATTTTTATTAAGACTCGTAGGGAAGCCAATGGGTTGGCTAGTGTAATGCATCACAATTTCCAGCAGTGAACACGTTTTAAAAATTAATATTAAGGAAGCTAGGAAACACTGCATGAACTTCCATGTCTCATGATACATTTTTACCAGTGCTAAATCTAAAAATAATGGTTTATGATGTAGACACTACACTTTCTTGTGCCTCAGAACAATCAAACCTCATTATAATGAAGTCTCATGTGTCATAATAAATGCTATTGTTATATCTGATATCTTATATAAATACTATATAGCTGATATTGTGAAAAGAAAAAAAAAATTTGATATGGACTTTTTGATGTGCTTATAAGTGTGCCATTTTGGGCAACTAGCATTGCGATTTAGCTTCTTTAACAGTACTACAGAGTTATATGCATGAAAATTGCTGTACGAGTGCATTCATTATTACATGACTTTGTTAATTTGATGTCATGGCATACAAAACTGAGAAATCATGCGTGCAAAAGGGACAAAATAATGGCTCCCAATAATAAAAAAAATAAAACTGCCAGTATATATTTATAACATATATATAGTTTAAACTGCCCATATAGGTTTATGATTCATTATGCAGACATGTTTATTACATTGAGCTTTGACTATTGAATCTAACCATTGACTGGCGAGCTGGAGCATTATAATTTTTTTTACAGACATTGAGACCTTTCTTCAAGATTATTTGGAAAGGTGAGTCTCATTTTTGTTGACTTGGTGAATAATGGTTGCTAAATTTTGAAAATTTACCTCTGCAGACTTGCAACAAGGTGCAATCCCTGGCATGGGCAGAGTGTTGGAAGCATTTATAAAACCGTCTGCGGAAGCCTGCTCGGTTGCCCTCGTAGAAGCGCTGCCCAGTATACTCCAGCTTCTGTCAGAAAATGAAGTGAGTGCTATGAGGAAAAGGTCCCAGAGAAAACCTGTTGATTTGCGAAGAGATAGCGATGTTTGTGTGAACAGGTGGTTTGATAACTTACCGTATTTACGGGATTATAGGTTGACCATTTCATCTAAATTTGATATTCGAGGTTTGTGGGTCGGCTCACAATTGAAACCAGTAGTACACCACCAATTATGACAAGATAAACAATAGATTAGGCACGCTGAGGCATGGTCAGAATATTGAGCTTGCCTTTCTGCTCTACATTGTAGCATAGTATACAGTCGAGCCCGCTTATAACGAACCTGAGCGTGACGCGGCATCCGTTCGCTGTATCCCGAAGTTCGTAGTAAATGAAATACAGCTTTTAAAAAAAAGTTTCGAGTGAAAACAGAAACTTTTTTTGCCCCAGAAAGTCCGTAATGCACGTGTTTCGAAGAGCAGAAACGATAAGGGTGGTCTCGAGTTCATTTAATACGGCAGGCTGCTCGTTCAGTGAGGCCCGTGGCATAAGCTGCATGATGGCTGGCTCCAAAGTTTCGTCATCCTCGCAATCCGATTCCTCCAAATCGCTCTCGCCACGTACTTCATTCACAATGCCCCAATCCGTGCACAGTTCCGCAGTGTTGTCATCATCATCGGTCCTAATTAAACCATCGCAACAGATGTCCTACCCGCTCTCCCAGGTCGGAGCCGACGACGCGCTGCCACAAATCGCCGCCGCAGCGGTCCTGTTTGGAAGCTTCAGGCTCGGCATCAGGCCCGACGTCGACAAAGTCGGCCTCGCGAAAACAGTTTCGCGCGCATGTAGCCGTCACCACCGCCCACGAAATATTCACCATCTCCACAGCTGAATACCAGGATGCCTGAAGCGGCAAATTGGCAGCCAGGTGGTCAACAGCTATGAGCAAGCGCTCCGCAACGCGGCACCTAACACGCGGATCACGCTCAAGCCAAGTGGTCACACTTCCGGCGTTATTTATTTTTTTTGAGCGGCACGAAAAAGCGTGCGAGTCCTCCCGTCGGCCATCATGACCACACACGCACACCAAGAGCGAGCAAGACACGCACACGCGTAGAACAGCTCTGGGCGTGTTTCCAGTCGGAAAACGAAACTAATTCGAGCCAGCGTGGCGGGCGTAGCGGAGCGGTGGAGATGGGCGAAGGGGTTGTGATCAAGAGAGGAGAGGAGGAGGATACAACTTTATTAAAAGAGATATCATGAATTTCGAGATGGCCGCTTGTCTGCGGTGACCTCTTGTGCCCATGCAATGACTGCTTTCTGCAGTTTTTCGTCGGGGGACCGTATTAAGGTCTCCCATGTCGTTTCGGAGGGAACTGGCAAAAGCTCTCTGGGTGGGGGAAGGCCCTCGCATTCCGAGAGGATGTGACTTTGGTTTGCTATGGCATTTTTGTCGCAATTTTTGCATGTTGAGTCAACCTCTCCACCTGTGAATATCGCTAAGCGATGAAGAGTGGTTAGGCTGTTCGTTTGAATTCGGCGGAGGATAGTGGCCTGTGCTCTCGTGAGGTTGCTGTGCGGTATTGGATATAATCTCCTGTCATCTTTATACATATTTGTAAGTTCGTTATAGGAGGTCACTGCCTCTCCTATCGGGGAGCCCGGTTCCAATGAAAGCGCAACCCGGTTTGCTAACCCTCGGGCCACTTTATGCGCTTCCTCGTTACTGGGGTTTCCCGAGTGAGCGGGGACCCAGACCAGATTGATTTTGATTCTATCATTTTGATTAAAGTTTCTCGGGACCTTGGCGGTATTTAGTCCCACACTTCTCCTTACAAAGCTGAGAATAGCGCTCTTAGAGTAGCTAAGGACAGTGTGGGTGGTTCGATGCATAATGGCCAGCGCTATGGCCATTTATTCGGCCTTTTTGATTGATGCGGCTCTAGTGGAAGCCACATTTATGATTTTAAGCTCTCCGTCCACGGCACTCAGGGCGTATGTGTTGTGTCCCTGGTTGGCGGCATCGACGAAGACCGCAGTTTGGTCTTGCTTGTGATTTTCACTTAGCCTATCTGCTCTGGCTTTTCTCCTAGCGTTGTGTCTGCCTGCCAGGGTGTTTTTGGGTATTGGTTTGATCTGTAGGTAATGTCTGATCGCGGGAGGTAGTGGTGCTCTGCCTCCCATGGTGTGTATGGGCTGAATTTTCAGTTTATGCAGGATATGTAGTCCCGTCATCATGTCTGAAAGCCGTGTTATTCGTGCTGTTTGTGTGCTAGGATCAGCTCCTCTAGGGTGTTATGCATTCCAAGTTGGAGGAGCTTCTCGGTGCTGGTATAAACAGGCAAACCTAGGGCCCATTTATATGCGTGTCGAATTATAGCTTCAATTTTATCTTTGTCTGATTTCCTGAGATGATAATAGGGGAAAGAGTAGACTATGCGGCTGATTAGGAAGGCCTCAATGAGCCTACACAAGTCTATCTCTTTCATGCCTCTATGTCTGTTGGCCACTCTCCTGAGCAGTCCACCAATTTGTTTGGCGGTGTTCTGCAATTTTGTGAGGGCCATGGTATTTTGCGTGTTATGTTGAATGAGCATACCCAGCACTCTAATGGTCAAAACCGGAGGGACCGGGCCGCTTTCCAACATAATTTTTATCGGTGCTTGTTGTTGGGCGTCCGTGCCTGGCATCTTTTTGGCTTTACTTCTAATGATTAGGAGTTCGGATTTCGAGGGGGAGCATGTTGTGTCTAACATACTCTTGCACGACATTGGCTGCCTCCTGTAACACATCATTTATCGCACCGTCCGAGCCACTGTTCATCCAGATTGTAACATCGTCCGCGTATATGGCATGTTTGATATGTGGTATCCTGTTTAGCTGTTGTGGTAAGTTCATAGAGAGCAGACTTGCGAGAGAAAGTCAAGGAGTTGCGGTAAAGCACGGAGGAATGAAAGATTCCTTCCTCCGTGCGATAAAGAGAGGGGAGGATGCAGCGGGAGGGCAATCTTGAAAACCAAAACACACGGGAAGGTGGGTAGCTTGCTTGAAAGGTCCGCGAAACTTGCACGTGGAAAAACTTGCCAGTGCCAGTCCGCGCAGAAGTCAAAGCATGGCCGCCTCGTTCTGTGCGCGCGGCGGCGTTCGAAGAATCTGCGGCCGTGATCAAGAAATCGTTTTGTTGTGCCGGCAGGTTTTTGTGGCCTCACGAACTTTGATATTTCGCGATTCGTTCCGCGCAATTTATCAGCCGTTTTCACGCTTCTGCACGTGCGCGGAAGGCATGCTGAGCTGAGTGCGAAGTGAGCGAGAACGAGACCTAAACATGAAACGAATCGCAAATTATCAGAGTCGGTGGGGTAGCGTATGCCCGTGCACTAGACGCAGACTATCAGATACAGTCGGTGGCCAACAATGTTTGCCAATGGTCTGGTCACTCCAGGCCGGTGACGCCGACAGTACCAGCGATCAAAAACAGGGTACGTGGCCAACCGGTTTTCGAAAGATTGGTGGCAGTGTGAAAACACGGGCCTCGTCTGGTGATGCGGGGTGCTCAGAGTAGCTGGGGGACAGAGGACGGAGGGGTGCATAACAAAAAGCGGTCGTGGAGAGCAGCAACTAGAGGGGCGCGGAGCCAGAATCGGCGTTTAACAATAAGAATGTATGGGCACCTCGCCGATGCCTGATCGGTGGTCGAAATTGGTTTCCCGGGAAGTCGGCAGACCGCTGACTCCGTTCGCTGTGACCGATCAGTGGCGCTTGGAGACGTTCGTTGTAAGTTCGATTTTGTGCCATTGAACCAATGTATATTTTGACGGTCACGCCAATATTGTTTGTTTTAAGCGAAAGTTCGTCTTAAGTGGGGCCGTTATATGTGGGCTCGACTGTAATTATTCTGTGCTCTTGTTGTGCAGAAATTTTCTTCCTAGGGGAGGAGGATCGGTTGTGTTGATACATTGTTATTAAGACTGCATATCAGTACAGGCAACCGGGGGAGAGGCACATAGAGCGCTGAACTTCCCACAGTCTACTTGTTTAGAAAGTGTTCACTTTACATAAATATATGCTTTTGCACACAGTTACACACAGTCATGCACAGAACACTGTGATATGGCAAAAATATATCTAGGAAACAAACCTAACTACAGCTTTTTCTTATCGATCAGTGAAACAGAGGGGGGCTGACGCAATCATCCTTCAAGGAAATAATCTTTTGTGCCTTGATGATCTCAAGTATGGTGCGATCATTGCATTTTGCAACTGTGCTACAATCGGAAAGTCTTGGCCTTAATCCACATGTGCTACAATGAGCAGGGAAGAACCCTCCTTTTGACTGATCAACATTATACAGATGTTCTTTCAACCCGTCGTTTAAGCAACAATCCGTTTAGCCAACCGTAATATTTTCCACCTGACAGGGATGGTTGGTAAACTAAATTACTAACGCAATCTCTAAATTTTTTTCCATTGTTTATAGTACACCCACGAATTGCTCTGAATCCTGGGACAGACATTTTACACCAACTGCTTATTTTTTGTGGAGTTAGAGAAAAGGCCCCAGAAAGGCGTCCTGGGTGCGATTCCCTGGCCAAGACGAATTTTCGGCAACGAGGAAGCTTTTTTTCTAAGAAATTCATACGGAATGTTCTTGTGGACACATGCTACAAATGAGTAGTTGTCAATTTGGCTTTCTTAAACCTCTTTTTCTTGAGCTTTGATATCTTCTGTTTTGCACCAGAATGGACACAGGGTGGGTTAAAGTTTTGAACCACAAAGGGTTAAGTGAGCCTTAACATTGATGCCTAAACACCATTTTTGCTGCAACATCGCTCATTGCAACATCGCCCTTCACGTGCTACAGGGAAATCCGCACCGTGTCTCATAAATGGTAACTTTGGCATCTCAGCCTGTGCCCTGTCGTAGTCTGCGCCAGCGTCATTTTGCAAAGCAAGAGCGTGCGTGAAATGTTAGCTTTGTATAAATAGCTTACGACATGTGAGCACACATGTGCTTACAAAAAGTGAGAAAGCACACAGGTGGTGTGATACTTGACTACTTATACTTGGAAAAAAATTCTTGCACCAGGAGGTTCGTTAGGCAACAGTTTTCCAATAGTAAGGTCATTCTGTGGTAACCTTGAGAGTCGGCATAGGGCTCGAGAAATAATTGAAGCTGAAAATATTGCCCAGCTAGGTGATTCTAATGTGGGTGTCATAATAATAGTTTTTTTGATTGAAGAATTAAGTTTGCTTAGAAATATTTTCTAAAACTCAAAAAGTTTGAAACGTTCCATTCTCTGCCTGGGATTTCACCAACATGTTAAGCAGATGCTTTGCTTGCTGCAACTTCGCATAGTGTAGCACAATGTGGTTTTGATATTCTGGCGATTGCAAAGTTGTATGTATGCTGCATGCCTGTTTTATTAGATTTACTGCAACTAGGCTCTATGTGTGCCTTTTGCCATCTGTGTCGCTATTCTCTGCTGCCCTTATAATTGCAGTGTAGACCGCTTATAACACAAGTCGTGGGAGTCGCGAATATTCGTACTATAAGTGGTACCGCGCCATAACCAAACCAACCTTTTTCAAGGGCCGCACTTGCGTAAAATATGTTGAGCATGCAGCTTCGCGTGTCCGAGAATCGAAACATGCAATGCGTGATTGCTAAGATTTAAATTTCTCAATGCTAAAAGAATGTAACGTCCAAATAAGACACGCGTTGCCAATGGAATGAACGCAAAAGGGGCGGGGGAGTGTCTAGCAAATAAAAACACCATCGTGGAAATTCGCCGACTTCCAGACAGGACAGCCTTGATTATGCGCATTACACCGAAACTATGTCGAAGCACGTCCAGCATTTGACGCGTTGAAAAACGCCAATCATTCGATTTCACGGGCGCGCACTCGATTTCGGACATCGCAATCGAATCGCAAACCACTATTTGAGCGCTACACGTGCCGCCCTCTTTTTCATTAACTATATGCGTCCCTTCCCGTCAAGTGCGGCCAATGCAAAAAGTTTTGTTGGTTCGGTACCATGCCGCAACTCAGATTCATGCGACCGCTACCGATCGAAGCGCAACCAACGCCGATTAGGCCTAGCTTGCCATTTAGTATGTTGTCGCGGAAAGTTTGTCCGAAACATGAAGATTTGGCATCGAAAATATCGCGCTAGCAGTGAACCAAGAACAGCGTGCGTCGATACGAAGTTCGCATTCACGGTCGGGAGATCAGCAATGACGGCAACTCGCCAAGCTAGTTTACGTACGACAGCACACTGGCAGCAAAAGTAAAAGCTCGAGTCATAAAACCGTAAAATGTTTTCAATTTACGGACGAGGAAGCAAACGCAATATTTGTTGCAAGCTCGATAACGACGACGCCTTTCTCGACAGGAAACTGTTGAGCGCATGCAGTAGATAAGGGCGGGATCGCACGTGCTACGTTGAGCGGCGGCGGCCGAAGCCACGCTAGCGACGTAGTACCGCAGATCACCTATACACTACGATTACAGTACGCTGCAGCCGCGTCGGCACCGGTGCAAAGGCTTATCGTTCACCGAGGCAACCGACCTTCTCCCTTACTTGGCAAGCCCACGCAGTGTCCCACTCTTTTTTTTTTTTCATGTTCTTTTTCTTCTCTCCACTCTTCGTTTGTTCACTCGGTGTCCCCTCCTCCTCTGTAACGACCTCATCGTTTGCTCTCCAGCGGCGCACTCACCGCGCCTCCTTATGGAATCGCACTCGCTACCTCATTTGTCACAAACAATTTCCGGCAACTGTATTATAACCGGTCTTTCATCTTGAGGGACTGCACAATAAGCGGTATGCGTATACATGGTGTTCTATGGGAGTCTACACTGCATAATAACAATGAAGGGTAACTACATAGATTTGTTTAAACTGTGGCCTTTTCCGAGCTTCAAATTATCGGCTTGTTTATTTTTCTACCTCAGTTCGTTGTGTTGCATTTGTTTAGCAGTGATTGCCTTATCCTCATTCATACTGTGACTTCTATATTGCTATAGAGTGTAGAAATCATTGCAAAAGACCTTAAAAATAATCAGCCTTTGTGCTCTAACGTCAACTAGATCTAGTATGTTAAAGGCTTATTTTTGTGCTGGGAATTAGGTGATACTGTTGAACCCCTTTAAAAGAGACGCCAGTGTGGCTACATTGAAATAGGGGCTGATGAGAAAATCCATATGAGGTGCCCTGCTTATATGAGACACCTCATATAAAAAATGAGAATTGCTCAACAGTGCATGTCTCTGATAAAGGGCTTCAACTGTTAATTGTAGTACTTGCAAATTTTAAAAAATAGTTGCTCTAAAATAAAAATTACTTCACTGGTTTGCTACATCGTTGCCCCACTAAGAGCTCTAAAAGAAGCTGTAGTGCCAGCATTGTCATGTATCAAATTCAGCATTACCACTGTGTTAGAAGAATGGGAGGGGCAGGTTTTTCTCTTAATTTTAGTATGAAAATGTCAATTAGGCTGAGGGGATGTGATGGTAAGTAAACGCGCCAGTAACCATACTCAAAGTGTATGTAACATAAAAACGTGGTACAGTCATAGTGGTAGTGGACACACATGTTAAAGGCTATCTCTCAGTATATACGATTCGCATTTTACAGGGTCATAGGCGAGTCCTGGTTCTTGAAAGTACAAGCAATGTCCTGTCGCATTATGCAGTTCTATGCAATCACCAAGCAGGTGAGTGATTTTGATGACATAAAACGTTTGTTGCCCTTTTATTGCAACTTGCAGTTTTTTGTTGTTATGGTCCTGTGATATCTTTGAAGCTTCTGTTGCAGCACTTTCTGTTGCAAATTTAACTAGTACTTTTAGGTGTGCTGTGTGAATAAAAAGGCTAACAAGTTTTTTGGAGGCAATTGTAATTAGTGGTCATTTTTACATGGGAAAAAAGGGACACTATACGGAAAAAGCATTTTACGCACAGCCCCGCAGGGGCGCCTGCGCAAGTAGCTGTTGGTGTGTAGCGACACCACGGACCCGAGCTAACGGGGGAGTTTTGACTCCCTCCCACGCCTAGCCGTGCGTGGCTTTGCCGTGTCCGGGGAAAAGGGGATCCTGGAGGTTGAGCCGACGCTGGGTGATTGGACCATTAAGGCCCCCCGGCAGAGGCAACACACCCCTTTGGTCCCGGCTTCAAGTAGACGGCACCCCTGGGCTGACCCACCCAGGGGAAATCGGCAGTCGCCTTTTCCTATCTCTCTCTCCCTACATCTTCGTCTTTATCTCTCACTTTTTATCTATCCTGTCTTCTAGTCTTTTCCGTTTACTTCCAAACTTCCTGGCGGCTAGGGTTAACCTTGTGTAGTTACCCAACCTTGGGTAGTTATATCTGGTTATAGCGGCGATGTATGACTGGCACCTTCAAGTGTTCTCGCCGTTGCCGAACATGAAATGCACCACACGGCAAAATCCATCGCCGCCGAACATGAAATGCACCACATGGCAAAATCTTTCCCCCTTCTCAATGATCGGTCCCTGAAAAGGAACCGCACCGATGAAAGCTCCAAATGAACCGGAAGCGATTGTTACCACTTCCCACGCTTTCTAGTCATACACTCTCTGGCAGATGACGTCTCTGTTGCAGGACTGTCGGTTTTCCTGATAGCTAAAACCCTTGCTAACCTAATAGGCAAAAATTACGACACAAAGAAACTGTCGTCCGGTGATCTTCTTGTTGAAGTAAGCCAGAAACAGCATGCAAACACTCTCCTTAAACAGAAGCAGTTCGCCCACCTGGACGTGTCTATCACCCCCATCGCAGTCTTAACACTGTTCAAGGCGTCATTTCACAACGTAATCTGATGCGAGAAACTGAAGCTGACCTCCTTGAAGGCTTTCGAGAGCAAAGTGTAGTCGCCTATCGTCGGATAACCATCAGGCGAAACAATGAAGAAGTGGTGACGCCTCATATAGTATTAACATTTAACCGCTCCATCCTGCCAGAATCTGTGAAAGCTGCGTTCCTTCACTGCAAATTTTGCCCCTACATACCCAACCCTAGAAGGTGCTACAAATGCCAGAAATATGGACATGGGTCGAACACCTGTCGCGGAAAACAAACATGTGCAAAATGTGGTGATCATGAGCACCCAACCGAGAGCTGTACTTCCACGCAAACAGAGTGCCCCAACTGCCACGGGCCGCACGCAGCGTACTCGCGGACATGTGAAATTTTCAAAAAGGAAAAGGAAATCATCCAGATAAAAGTAATGGAAAACATCACATTCTCTGAAGCCCGGAAGAAGGTGTCGATCTTCTCCGGAAGAACGTGCGCTGACGCAGCGCGCCGGGGGGCCGGGCGGTGTCTAGTGACGGTGGGCACGCAATACAGCTTTGCTGATGCGTGCACATCTCTGCCCCCCACCAAGCAGCCACAGGCTGCACCAACCTTTCACGTCCCGGAGGTCGCACTTCATCAGACCCCAAAGACCACACAGACAACTGAGACATCTGTCTCTTCTGACAAACCTCCATTAGCTTCTGAGGGTTCGCCGGAGGCAATGGAAGTGACACCAGGATACTCAGCGTCTAAGATGCTGACGGAATCCCCCCAAGTGAGGTGGGGCTCCATAGATCGCCTCAGAGGGAAAAGACACCCGCCAGTGAAGCCTCCTAATATAGGCAGTGAAGTGTGAATAAGTCACGCTCTTTTCCTCATTCATAAAAATGGCTGCCGAAAATATCATCCAATGGAATTGCCGAGGCTTACTTAAGAACTTAGACGACATCTATGAAATATTTGCACAACACCAACCAAACATACTTTGCTTACAGAAAACACACCTAAAACCTACACACACTAGCCTTTTGAAAAGATATGTGGTATACCGAAAGGACAGACAGGGCACTGCCCATTCATCTGGTGGTGTCGCTATCGTGGTGCAGAAAGCAGTTCCGTCTCAAAGCCTCACTCTGGTTACTGACTTGGAAGCAGTGGCAATACGAACCATAATTTTTGGACGAGTAACAACCGTGTGTTCACTATACATTCCTCCAGACCACCAACTCTCTACTAAAGAATTTGAAACACTCATCGACCAGCTTCCGCATCCATTTTTGTTGGTTGGAGATTTTAATGCGCACCACCCTTTATGAGGATGTAGAAGAACGGATTCTCGAGGCTCCTTAATTGAAAACCTTCTGTTGTCCTCCGGCTCCTGTATATTTAATAAAAAACAGCCAACATACTTTAACGCAGCGCACAACTCATACACAGCAATAGATTTTGCTATTGGATCTCCTTCACTCTTGGCAACCACTGAGTGGGCTGTAATTCATAACCTCTATGGAAGTGATCATTTTCCTGTTTGTCTAAAGTACAAAGGAAATACCAGAACAATGACTGCGAATGTAACCAGCTTCCGAGAACAAGGTGCGAACTGAACGAAATTCCGAGAACTCTCAAAACTATCGCGCTCATCAATTGAAACCCTAGGCATCGATGAATCTGAAGCGTTGGTCACACTGCACATTATACAGGCCGCAGAGCAATTCATCCCACATACATCTAACAATACACGGAACAAAAGACGACCTTGGTGGAACTCTGAGTGCAAAAATGCTCGTGACAATCAAAACAAAGCATGGACAAAATTCCGCAGGTATCCTACAGTCGAAACCTTGGTGAATTTTAAGCGTGCAAAAGCAAACAGTAAACTGTCCGACGAGAGTCTAAACGACAGAGCTGGCAATCCTTCCTCTCATCGGTGAACTCTTACACTGACACACATAAGGTGTATAACAGAGTAAGAGCACTCCAAGGGCACAGCACTCATCCGATGCCCCTTGTTAGTACTGCTGGTGATACACTGGAACACCAGGCAGATGCCTTAGGCCAACACTTGTATTTCAGCTCAGCACATTATACAGACTCCTTTAGGCGATACAAACTTGCCAAGGAACGTAAACCTATTCGTGATGATAGGCGATCGGCAGGAGGGTACAATGCTTCCTTTACTATAGGTGAACTAAAGGCAGCACTGGCAAAGTGCGGCAGCTCAGCAGCAGGCTCGGACAGGATTACTTATTGCATGCTGAAACACCTACACGAAGAAACGCTTGACGTCGTCCTCATTCTTTTCAACAATGTATGGTCCTCTGGGCGTCTGCCCATGACCTGGAAAAAGGCAGTTATCATACCCATTCTTAAACAAGGAAAAGAAGCCACACTTGCTGCTAGTTACAGGCCTATTGCGCTGACCAGCTGTTTGGGCAAGGTGTTCGAAAAAATGGTGAATCGCCGCCTTATGTATTACCTTGAATACAATGGCCTCCTTGATCGTCATCAAGCTGGATTCAGGTCTGGCCAGTCGACAACTGACCAACTGGTAGCATTTGAATCCTATGTCAGGGATGCCTTCATTCATAAGCAGCACTGCCTATCTGTATTTTTTGACTTGGAGAAAGCTTACGACACGACATGGCGTTATGGCATTCTCCGTGACCTGCGATCTTTTGGAGTGTCAGGAAATATGCTGAATACTACTGAAAGCTACCTTTCTGATCGTACATTTGTGGTTCCTGTTGGTAATGCCTTATCGAAGTGGTTTACGCAAGAAAATGGCGTCCCTCAGGGCGGTTTTTTTAGCTGCACACTATTCATCATAAAAATGAACTCCATAAGCACCATATTGCCTAAAACAATCTCCTACTCTGTATATGTGGATGACATTCAGATCAGCTTCAAATCATGCAACCTAGCCACATGTGAACATCAGATTCAGATGGCAGTAAACAAGCTGTCAAGCTGGGCAGACAAAAATGGGTTTAAGTTTAACTGCAACAAGACTGTTTGCGTACTCTTCTCAAAACTACGTGGCATAAGGCCACCCCCAAACATTTCAATTAACGGACAAACCGTAACTACCAAAAAAGATCACAAATTTTTAGGTGTTGTGGTTGATGAAAAGCTCAGCTTTGTTACACATATCAAACAGCTACGACTTAAATGCTTGAAAGCCTTAAACCTGCTCAAGATTCTCTCGCATCAGTCATGGGGCACACACCGTGACTGTCTACTGAACCTTCTCAACAGTGTAGTGCTATCACGTATCGATTACGGCTCGGTGGTTTACGAGTCAGCTTCAAGATCTGCATTGAAGATGGTTGACCCAGTGCACCACCTTGGGCTTCGGCTGGCCAGCGGTGCTTTTCGAACCAGCCCGACAGCCAGCCTGTATGTTGAGACAGACCGGTGGTCACTAGAACGGCGACGTCAGTTTACAAGTGTCACGTATGCCACCAAGGTGCTTTCCCATGTTGACCACCCAGCTCGTGCGCTATTGCAGGATACATTGAACGCCCTCCTGTTTTTGAGGCGACCATCAGCTACGCCACCGTATCCCCTCAGAGTGGCCTCACACCTTGGAAATATGCACATACCGGTCTCCAATCTTCAACTAACCTCTCACAAGGACACTGTTGTGCCATGGGAAATGCAGGCTATCGATTGTGACTGGTCATTCCTAGAGGTAGGAAAAAATGGCCACCCAGTCGCAATCGATCAACACTTCAAGTACCTGCAGGCCAAATACAGGTGTGCTGAATATTATACTGATGCCTCCAAGTCCTCCGCAGTCGCATGTGCGGCACACGGTCCTGCTTTCTCTGAATCTAGAACAATGAGTGAACATACCAGTATATTTACTGCAGAATGCTATAGCATACTTTTAGCTGTA